ATTAATTAATTAATTAATTAATTAATAATAATAATAATAATAAAGAAAAATGTGATGTGGGATCAAATCTGATCCCACATCGACAATCGACAATAAATTTTTTTAAAAAAAAGGGCGTTGAGCTCCCTCATTAAAAGGGGAGCTCAACGCCCCAATTTGCATCCCAGGGCAGGGAATTAGAAGCCTCAGGCTTCATTATTAATGAAGCCTGAGGCTTCTCATTTTAATTAACAACAACGTTTTTTTTTTAATATATAAGGGCGTTTTGGGCTTTTGCCCAAAACGCCAAAGAGAAACGCTGCTATATGCAGCGTTTCTAAAATCAGCGGTTTGGAGCAATTCGCTGCTTCAACCACTGTTAACCAAACAATGGCTTTGGCGTTTTGACCTTGGTCAAAACGTCAAAGTGTCAAAATGCCAAAGTCGGCGGATCCGCCAATAACCAAAGATGTCCGATATATTATTTCTTTTGTTAAAAAATAGAGAAAAGTCAAATTAGTTTTGTGAGAAATTTGGTGAATGGGAATGCATGTAAAGAATTTGGACAAAGTTCACATGACAACATAAGTGTGTGGTTTGTCACCAACTCACCACTAGATATTTAGAAATTAATAGAGGGAGCTATGAGCTTGTAATGTTTTGATTTTTTTTTTTTAAAAAAAAATCATGTTTAATTAATAGTGGTTGTCTCTATAATTTTGTTAAAAAGAAATAGAGATAAAAATACAAATAAAAAGAAAACATAAATTATTGACTAAACAAACACTAGCTTATATATATAGCACCACAAGTCACAACGTGTGCTAATCTATGAGATATTTTAGAAATTAATATAGGGAGCCACAAGTTTGTAATGTTGTGATTTAAAAAAAAAAAAAAAAAACTTATGTTAAAGTAATAATCGTCTCTTTAACTTAAAAAAAAAAAAAAGGAAAAAAATACAAACAAAAACACCAAATAATTTATAGACTAAACAAACAAGAGTGAGTCTCTCGTGAGACCATCTCACGAATTTCTATATGTGAAACGAGTCCGGTCATAATGGAAATGTAATATTTATGTTGGAAAATGTAATACTAATTATGAAATTATTTGTTACTTATAAGAAAAAATATAATACTTTTCAAATAAAATGTAATACTTTAAATCAAAGTCAAGGTTGAATAATTATTTATGAGAAAAAAATGTAATATTAATCATGGATAAATTGTTTAATTGTTACTTATGAGAGAAAGTGCAATACTAGCTTATGACAAAAATGCGATACTTTTGATGAAAAATATAATATTTTTAAATAAAAATGCAATATAAAGAGTTAAAGATTTATTTATGATGAAAATTATAATACTTATGTGAAAAATGTAACAGTTGTTTAAATTTCAATATGTCTCACAAATGAATTTGTGAAATAGTTTGACCGTATAAAACTAAAATCTGGCAAATATTATAAGAGAAGATTTTTATGATTAATGTTAAAAGTAAATGTAACAAAGTTGTGCCAAAAACAGATTAAGAAATCAGAAGGGGAAGAGATCAGATTTCGGAGACAGAAGAGAAATAGAGAAGTGGAATTTGTTGAGAAAGAAAATGACAAAAGACTTTGAAAGGTATTATAAAAAGAGTAAAACATTGAACTCAAATTCCGTTGTAGTCTAGGCGGTTAGGATACTCGGCTCTCACCCGAGAGACCCGGGTTCGATTCCTGGCAACGGAAAGTGTCTCCTTTTTTGCACATATCCAAAGAGAAAGGAAAATGAATCCACTCAATACTTGAGGGGCAACTTTACCTACTGAAGACTTCCCTCATCTCTACTTCGGCCCCTATTGTTCTCTAGAATAGTAGACTTTCCATAGCTATATATCAATGCCTCAAACTTGTTAAGTTGTTGGTATTTTTCCTTTTATTTATTTTTTTAAATAGTAACGAAACGATCCTGTTAAGTCATATTTTTAAACTCTATAGTATATTAAGCTTCATATCAGTCACATGACCTGCACTCTCATGGAGTGCTATTTCATTTTATATTTCTTCTTCCAAAAGGCCGAACCACAACCCTAAGGGCCCCCACACCCTTCATTTTATATTTCTTCCAACTACTACTGATTGTACTAATTAGCACTATTGATGCTGATTTAGAGGACACGTTGACTATATGTATCTTTATATATTTGATAGCTTTTTAATTAAACTTTTGTGTATATATATAGTTTATACACTTGATGATATACTTTTGTTTTTGTTTTTATTTAGTGGGTTTTTATATTTATTTCTATTTTCCAATTAAATTGGTTTATTGTGTTATGTGTTAGAAATTAAACATGTGGTATATAAAATTTGATAGGAATATTATATTTAAAAAAATAAATAAAAATGGACTTTCTATTAACTAAAAGCTAATCACAAAGTCATATTTCTAACAAGAGTAAAGACAGAATGTTCCATAACTAAATTTAACAACGAAAAATTCTATTGTTAATTCGTAACTAAAAACTTATCACAAGATCCATACTTCTAATTGGAATATTGTGGAATATGCAATTGCTACATTTAGTAATGAAAATTGGCTATGTAGTATGTACTAGTCCAAAAGTCCATCACCCCATTAATTCTGTTGTACTAGTTAGTTATTAGATCAAATCAATAGTTGCTCCACCAAATCAATAATCCGACGGTCCCACCATCACAAAAATTTGTGTGGCTAGGTATAATCTCCTGTAAAATTAATTTTAGAAGTAAGGCCAAATAGGTCACTCACCGCAAATTATGTCATGGAATCGTGTTCACCGAGAATGGTAAACACAAGACAAAACGACGTCGTTTTTAGGCAAAAAAAAAATAAAAATCGCGGATGTGGAGTTAACGGCGCGCGTTTGATCAAATTATGAATTTTCTGTTATGAGATTATGAATTTTATGAAAATTCATAATCTCATAACAGAAAATTCATAATCTCACAACTGAAAATTCATAATCTCATAACAGAAAATTCATAATCTTATAACAGAAAATTCATAATCTCATGGTTCCAAAGTGAATGTGTAGGCATGGTTCCAAAGTGAATGTGCAGGCATGGATTCATAATTTATGAATGTCCGTGATTTCGGACGGGAATATGTAGGCATGGTTCCAAAGTGAATGTGCAGGCATGAATTCATAATTTATGAATGTCCGAAATTATGAATGTAATGAAAATTCATAATCTCATAACAGAAAATTCATAATCGCATAACAGAAAATTCATAATCTCATAACTGAAAATTCATAATCTCATAACAGAAAATTCATAATCTTATAACAGAAAATTCATAATCTCATGGTTCCAAAGTGAATGTGTAGGCATGGTTCCAAAATGAATGTGCAGGCATGGATTCATAATTTATGAATGTCCGTGATTTCGGACGGGAATGTGTAGGCATGGTTCCAAAGCGAATGTGCAGGCATGAATTCATAATTTATGAATGTCCGAAATCTTTGTTCACCTCACATTAAAGTGAAACTGCAAAATGTGAAAATAAAGAAGAAAAGTCACGCAATTAATTAAGAAAAAAAAAATAACGGTTTACTAACACCGTTGGAACTGTGTTCACCATGAATGGTGAACACGGTTCCATGGCATAATGTCACCTGCACATCAAATTACAATTGAGCCATCGTCTTGCAATCGGACTAAAAAAAATGTAATTAGGTCCATAAGCAATGCAAACTCATATAATTCAATTCAAAATGACTTATTTACCTGAAAATATGTTGACGTGGCGGTTACCGAATTTTTTTAAAAAAATTAAATAAAATATTTTTTTTTTAAAAACGCCCCTTTCATCTCAGGCCGTTTCCATGGCCAGGGAGACGGGCCGAGAAGAAGCCAACCCCTTTGTCTCCATGGCCAGGGTGATGACCCGAGACAAATCGGCCCCTTTCGTCTTCGGCAGAGGCGAAGGGGCTTTTTAAAATTATTTTTAAATTAAAAAACTGCCATGTTAGTATGTTTTCAGGTAAACATGTCATTTTCGGTTGAATTGTATGAGTTTGCGTTGTTCAATGAATCAAGTGCATTTGTTTGGTCAGTCTTATGAATTTATGTTGTGCTTATGTAGTGAATTTTGCATTTAATTAATAGAATAATATAAAGATTGTGATGTATTCATGTTTGAAAAAATAATTGATATTATGTTTTGTTGTAAGGAGGTTAATTTTAAGAATCAATCAATAGCATTTTAAACATGCTTGATGGTTTTCATTATTTCAATATTGTAACAAGATGAAATATGTTATACGGAGTAACTTATTGTGCCCGTTAGCCTGTTAATTCATAATCGATGAACTTGCATATGATATTGTGAAGATAGAATAAACAAGAAAATGTAAATACAGAATAGAGAAATTCAAGATCAGAGAGTCATTTATTCAGTCAATTCTTACAAATATATAATACAACAATTAAAGGAGGGTAATTAAAAGAATGACCGTTACAAAAACATTGTTGGTCATAATGTCCATATTAAAATCTTTATAACACTTCCCTTTAATCATGTATTGTTAAAAATTCGTTAGAAAACCCTTGTGTCACATGAAGCATTGGGGCTAAAAATTTTTAACCCTAACTTGTGGGGGCTAGCCAACAAGCCAACTTCAAAATTAAAAAAAAAATTATAATATTTTAGTTTTTTAATGATATATATATATATATATATATATATATATATATATATATATATATATATATATATATATTTTAAAATTCTTTTTATTGAAAGTCCATTTAGCCTGTCAACTCGCGCGGGTCAAGTCGCATAATTTTTTTTTTTACGCTTGAGCTGCTCTACCGCAAAACGATTTAGGGTTGACTCGTGAGTTTCGGTTGACAGTTTGACACTCATAATTTTAGTATGTATTGGGATGTCGAGCTAGTCCAATTTCTTAAAAAATTAAAGAAAGAAGCTAAATCCAAAATGCTCCAATGTATGATATAGTGATTTATATATTCTTAGCAATGTTTTCAATTATATTATCCCCTTTAGAAGTGAAAACAGAAGAAATAGACCGAACCTCAAGTTTAAGTGGAGAAATTTTGTATGACGAAAATAACCTTCAAGCTATTGGCAAAACAACAAATCCGGACAGGGAAAGTTGGGAGTAATTCGTCATAGTGCACTTTCACCACTAAAAATCCCCTAAATCATCATCAGGAACCCTAATTGCCACCATTGCAGGGACAAGGTCACAAGGTGATCATCAGTTCACTCGCCGGTAATTCTCGTTTACTAATATCCTCTTCTAATTCATTTGACTTAAATTAATTCGCATTTCATTCATCCTTGTTATATAAATTTTCGATTTCTCGGAGAATTTTTAACGTTGTCTATTACTATGGAATTCGGTGTATGTATATATTATCATTTGTGAATACTTCGTTTTGGCGAATAATGAAGGACCTGAATGAGTTTTTGGTGTATTTGTAAATTCGAAATAAATTTGATCATCACTTTATTTATTAAATATGAATACTTCGCCGGTAATTCTCGTTCTCTAGCAAAAGTAAAAGCTCATATTGGAAGAATATTGCATATATAAATCATTTTGTGTATTTGTTTGTGTTTCTCTGTGGTAGTAGGTTTGCAGGTTTGTTTAGCATTATTGATGGATTGGAGCTCAGACAGTAGTTCTGGTCGTTTTTCCAAGTGCTTTTTTTTTTTTTTTTTTTCCAAAGCTTAACTTGGTGTATTGATGAAACGAGTCATACTTGGGTAGTTGGGTTTACTTTTAAAGAATACTAATTCCTGTGGGTTTAGTGAATTCTGGCGAGGACTGAGGACAAAGAGACTCAGCTTTAGAATAATTTTCTTTGGAAAAACAAAAAGAAAGGTGACAGAAATTATTGTAATATGAAATGAGTCATACTTGGGTTTTCTTATGAAGAATACTAATTCCTGTAGGTTTAGTTAACACCATGGAGGACTGACTACTGAGGACAAAGAGATTCATTTTTAGTTTATTGGACAAACAAAACTAAAGATAACAGAAATTCTTGTAATAGAGTGATGAGCACTGAGTAATTGTCAAGTATTGTGGATTCTAGATTAGAAATTTTGCTTAACTTGCTGGAGAAACTGAGAAAGTAATGGACATCTGTTATTAAATATTTTTGCAGCATAAAATGATAACGGTAGTTTAGTGATGTAGATGCTTATGGCATATCAGAGTCAAATTGACATATTCGTGGTTTTGTGTCTACTACTTCTTATGTCTTCTCTCACATGGTTGTGATTACTAACTTGGAGAAGATGCTGCATTCTTCAGCTCATTCCAGTCTGGGATTTTGCAGATATTGGAAATAAATTGGGATTATAAAATTGGGAATTCTTGAGGACACAACTATGTATGTGTATCTTGCACCTGTGAGTTCATTATAAATTAAGAGTACTGCAGCAAACAAGTGATGGTTGCATTTTGCTGCTTTATGTGCTTCATTCTTGAAACAATTGTTTCATTTGCTTAGATTAATTTTACCTTCTTTACTTTATCTTATTGATTTTAAACTCAGTGGTAATATATTCATATCTTTTGTTTATGAAAGCATTTGCTCACATGCTTCTTGCTGTCAAAGTTCCATTACTTATCTAGGGCTAGAAAATGTCTAATATGAAAAATGGTTTTGTAAAATGCGTTAGGGTGGCTCTTTAATCAGTACATTCACAGAATGTGCATTAATTTACTGCAGGAAGGTCATTTATTTCAAACTGGATTGAATTATAATGGGTCGGGCCATAGGGTAGTTTCTTGATGACCAAGCCCAACTTGCTATCTACTCACTTCTGTGGATAATCTATAATATTTTCATGTGTGCTTAACGATTACCTCCTTCAAATTTCATCTCCTGTGTCTCCATCACTCATTAATTTATGTTTTCTCTTCTTTTTTTTTTTTTTTTTTTTGTATTTTTTTTTTTTTGTGTGAATGCATTGGTCTAATTGTCATTTAGACCATCCTTACAGCAATCCCTACATTTCTTGAAATTCATTGCTTCATTTTTTTTTTTTTCAAACTTGTTGGACAATACCATCCTCTTGTAATCATTCAGCATTCTCTCTTGCCTGCCTTTGTTTGTATTGGCACTGTAGTTGGCCAGCCTTTTACTTTGATTGATCACATGAATCTTCTTGGGCCTTATCTCATGGATCAAAGTCAATTGAGATTCTTACACTGGCAATCCTCTTGTCCTTTATTTTGGTTTCCACCTTTCCACAATTTTCTTCTTTCTTTTGCAAATGCTTCTTGCTTCAGTGCTTCCATCAGAGTTGCAGCGCCATCTTGTCTTACTAGATTTTTAAGATGCCGATGAAAAGAACTAGTGCCACAGCTTCTAAATTGAGTGAACCTGAGAAGCCTGTTGAGACTGAAGAGCAGGTTGAGCTTGATGAAGACAATGAAGAAGAGGAAGAGATTGAATATGAAGAAGTAGAAGAAGAAGTGGAAGAGGAAGTAGAAGAGGTAGAGGAGGAGGTGGAAGAAGAGGAAGAGGGAAGTGATGTTGGTGAAGAAAAGGGCTCTGATGATGAGGGACCGGAAGTTGATCCTGAAGAGGAAGATGATGAGCAGAAAAGACGTACTGAGCTTCTTGCGCTGCCTCCTCATGGATCAGAGGTGTATATAGGTGGTATTACTCGGGATGTTTCAGAAGGTGATGTGAGGCAATTTTGTGAGTCAATAGGAAAAATTACAGAGGTAATCCTTTTCCAATCTATTACATGTGCTATGTTTTCTTGCCAAACTTAGATTGTTGATGTGAATGAAACACAGTTGAGAATGATGAAGGGAAAAGAAGCAAATCAGAACAAGGGGTATGCTTTTGTCACTTTCAGAACGAAGGAACTAGCTTCTACCGCCATTAAGGAGCTTAATAATACTGAACTAAAGGTGTGCACAATGTAACTTTCTGCTTACCTACTCTTCACTATTTACTAATCCATCATTTTTCATAAAATTTCCAGAGATGATGTTCTCAGTTGTGCTGTATGTGTATTTTATGTTGATTTTCTGATACTGTAAACTGAAAATCCTGAGTCTTTCCCCACTAAGCTATGTTTCTCTTGTCTTACATTTTAAAAACTCTACTCTTTTATCAGGGAAGAAAGGTAAAGTGTTCTCCAGCTCAAGCAAAGCATCGATTATTCATTGGTAATGTTCCTAGAAACTGGGGGGAGGAAGAGATGAAGAAGGTGGTAAACAAGGTTGGGCCTGGAGTTATTAAAGTAGAATTGTTGAAGGTCTGTATGCTCTCTTATCTTGTTGTTTCCCTCTATTATTGTATTAAGGCATTCAAACTTTTTCTTCTATTTGAGGTAAACCAGTTTTCATCAAGTTACTTAAATTCTTCTCTCATGCAGGATCAACAGAATTCGAGCCGAAACCGTGGATTTGCATTCATTGAGTACTACAATAATGCGTGTGCTGAGTATTCAAGACAGAAGATGTCAAATCCAAATTTTAAGCTTGATGATAGTTCTCCAACTGTTAGCTGGGCTGACCCAAGGAATGCAGATTCTTCTACTTCTTCTCAGGTTGCCTATATGAGTTACCTTTTTTCTTATTTGAAATATCCACTGGAGTTGCAAACTATATTGGATGCTGTGACCATTCAATATAATTTCATAATTGGTCAAGCTCTTACTTTCATTGTCTATTTATTGTGAATGTTCTAGTTGCCTCAGGAAGAGCTCCCTCATTCTCCTCTGAGTTACAGTTTCATGCTGACTTAAGTGCCTACCTGATTTTAGGTCTGTGTTGAATTCACAAGTGTGAATTTGCTGTATTTAGGCAGCTTCATTCATTTGATATGTTGAAGAAAATCTCGAGTTATACAGCCTCATTCATTTGTGTGATTTTCTAAAGTAATCTGGTACTCTTATTCATTTGCCGTGTTAAAAGTGGCCTCCTGGTTTGATCTGAATTAGACTTGTTATTTGCAAGGAGAAACATACTCATGCATGGTCAAAGTTGTTGACAAAGGATTTGCTATCCTACAGGTTAAAGCAGTATATGTAAAGAACTTGCCCAAAAATGTTACCCAGGATGAGCTGAAAGAGTTATTTGAACGTCATGGAAAGATTACCAAAGTCGTTCTACCTCCTGCTAAACCAGGACAGGAAAACAGCAGATATGGTTTTGTTCACTTTGCTGAAAGGTCAAGTGCAATGAAGGCTTTGAAGAATACAGAGAGATATGAGATAGATGGTACTTTAGTTTTCCTTTCAGCCTTTTGGATTTTAATATTTTGATACCATAATTCTCAAGTTCAATCATGCTTGGCCTGATGCCCAATTGCACTGATAGGTAAAGTTCTGGATTGCTCACTTGCAAAGCCACAGGCAGATCAAAAATCTTCTGGTGGATCAAATTTACAGAAAGGAAACACATTTCCGATCTATCCACCTCGTCTTGGATATGGCATGGTTGGAGCAGCATATTCTGGTGTAGGTGCAGGAATTGGCCATGTAAGAAATCTTGCTCATTATTACATGGTTGTAACTCCCCCACACATGAATTTAATAAACACTGTATAATTCAATATATCTGAGAGCTGGACACAAGGACGCCTTTCTTTCCAGATACATAATATTTTTGGTGATCATTTTATTGAGAAGTTAGTTGAAGTTAAAAGTTGCCCATTGAAACAGTGAAAATATTATGATGTGCTGTTCCTACTATAAACTTTTAATGTGACCTGTTTATTTTATTTTGGTACTTGTGTACTTTGCAGCCACTAGCTTATGGAAGGGGAGCTACACCAGCCGGTATGGCAATGATGCCATTGCTTTTACCTGATGGAAGGATCGGATATGTCTTGTAAGCATACTTCTTCTAAAGCTCGAGTATTCTGCTGTAATGGTTTTTTAAAATAGACCTAATAAATGCAGGTTTCGAAGAGGAAAATATGTAGTAGCTTTTGCATGAATGATCAGACTTCCATGACACTGATGATTTGATGAAACTTTACATTTTAAAGACAGTAAGAAACAACAAATAAAATTTAACTCATCAGATCTAATATGACAAATTTATCACATTCCCTGAAGTCTCTTCGAGTTCTTCTATTCTTTCTTTCTTTCAAAGTTTCAAGTTGGATTTGGAGTTTTCTTGGGTAAAGGAAAGGTAAACATATAAAACGGAGTTCAATGCTTTTATTATTATTATTTTTTCTCCATTTAAATCTTTATAGGATAGGATATGATGTAATTTGCAAATTTGAACATCTTCTGACGGTGCTATATCTGAATGGTTCTCTGCATGTCTCAAGAAATTTTGAGAAATAACGTTACAATTTAATGACAGGCAACAGCCAGGAGTCATACCCACACTACCAACAGCTCCTCAAGGCGGTCATGGTGGCGGTGGCCAGTTTTCGGGTGGAGGAAGGCGTGGCAACAACAGTGGGCGTGGTGGTGGGGGTGGCGGTGGCGGTGGCGGTGGCCATAGCAGTGACATTGGACGTGGGCGTAGTCGATATAACCCCTACTAAATCACCAGCAAGTTGGTGGTGCAATTCTTATTCCCCCTAGGATATATATGCATTGTCTTATTGTTGTTGTTAGTAATCTAACGCAACCTTAAATCCTACATTTCTTGAATAGAGGTTTCTTTCTCATAAGAAAAACTTTTGGTTTGACGCTGCTTTTTTCAAGGCCTTTAGCTTCTGCTGTTCTTTTTGTTGAATAGTAAATTGATGATTTCTTAGTTTCAATCGCAATAGAAGACTTTTTATAGTGGTTTGGGAACTTCCTATCCAACTCTTCTACCAACACAAGGAGATTTCAATGATATTGGAATACAAGTGAAAGTTATCTTTTCACACTAATTGTAAACCAAGTTAACTAGGTTACTTGTTAAACCCCTTAATTGGTAACCTTTAAACGACCTTCAACATCAAGCTGCACGTTATGCACTGCCTGTCTTTGTCGTCAATGGTTGAAGACTACTTGGACATAATTTAGAAGTGTTTTTTGAAGCGTTTTGATAGCGCTATTGAATGACTATTTTTTTTTTTTTTTTGGTGAAATGAGTGTTTGTTGGGCAGTTCTCTCTAGTTTTTTAATCATTTTCCAACGTTTTGGGTCAACAATAATGTACAAATATAAAAAGTATAACAACGAATATTATATAGTGCAGTTGATGAAATGGATTGGATCGATTATGTTTTAAATTTTTTTATTAAATATTTAGATAATAAAATTAAAGATGGAATTATAAATAATTCTAATATTTGAAAGTGTACATTTATTTAATTATAAGATTAGTCCAAAAGTATCACTCAATTAATTGAATAATATATGACTCGTTTGTCTACAATTATCTTAAAAAATCGATATGCAATATGATTTATGTAATTATATTATTACAAAAATAAATATGGAAAAGAGGAGAAATAATTTAATTATAATTATTATAAAATTTATACAACGGTCCATGTTTAGCTTAATTATCATAATAATAATTATTAGACAATTATTATTAGGCAATTATACTAATATCCGTGGAATTATACTTTTATATCTTTTAAGTATATTCCTTTCCACCCTATCGCATTTATTTTTTCATCCTCTTCATATCTAAACTGAATGAAATAATTGTAATTATTAGAAATAATATATATGACGACCCATGTTTAATTGTAATTATATTAATATTTGTGTAATTATTAACTTAATTAATATAATTATTATTAATCAATTCTTTAATTACCATAATAATTATTAGGTAAATATACTAATATTGTGCAATTATATTATTATACCTTAAAGTATAAAAATATGTATATAAAATTTGTTACATTTATTGAGCTTTTATTTACCATAATAATTATTAGGTTTTATATAGTAATAGCTTGGGAGGTAATTTTGGCGGGAAGTTTTTAAAGTGCGATTTTGTTTTTATTAGTAATATAGATAGATTACACAAACCTAAGTATTGTTGTTTATAATTTGCAAATTCGCAAGTATTATGAGGAGGATTCGATTTGCGTTTTTATACTAATTGGAGTAGTGACGGAATAATATTGTTGAATAGGAATAGGAATAATATTGTTGAATTGGAGTAGTGGCGGAATAATTTTATCTGTAAAGAAATGTTATCATGCCTTCTGATTTATAATGATTGACATGTAAAATTTTTCTACAATATTTTATAATATTTTCAATCTAATATAGTTACATGATACGGAGTATTTTTTTTTTTTATATAAATTTTCAATTTTAATATTGTTGTATTGTATTACGAATAGAAATTTTAATGTAGAATCTATACTATATATAAAAACAAAATCCTAAAATTTTAACTTCCCGCCCAATTCCTAAAACATCTCTCTTCCTAATAAAATATATTGATTTCTACATTCCCATTCGTACAATAGTTCTGCGTTAAAATTCTATTCTAATATTATAAAATAGTGTAATACAATCTACACTATATATAAAAACAAAATCCTAAAATTTTAACTTCCCGCCCAATTCCTAAAAAATCTCTCTAGATATATTGATTTCGACTTCCCATTCTTACAATAATTCTGCGTTAAAATTCTATTCTAATATTATAAATTAGTGTAATACAATCTATTTTATATATAAAAACAAAATCTTGAAATTTTAACATCCCGCCCAATTCCTAAAAAATCTCTCTTCCTAATAAAATATATTGATTTCGACTTTCCCATTCGTACAAAGTTCTGCGTTAAAATTCTATTCTAATATTATAAAATAGTGTAATACAATCTATACTATATATATAAACAAAATCCTAAAATTTTAACTTCCCGCCCAATTCCTAAAAAATTTCTCTTCCTAATAAAATATATTGATTTCGACTTTCCCATTCGTACAATAGTTCTGCATTAAAATTCTATTCTAATATTATAAAATAGTGTAATACAATCTATACTATATATAAAAATAAAATCCTGAAATTTTAACTTTCCGCCCAATTCCTAAAAAATCTCTCTTCCTAATAAAATATATTGATTTCGACTTTCCCATTCGTACAATAATTCTGCGTTAAAATTCTATTCTAATATTATAAAATAGTGTAATACAATCTATTTTATATATAAAAACAAAATCTTGAAATTTTAACTTCCCGCCCAATTCCTAAAAAATCTCTCTTCCTAATAAAATATATTGATTTCTACTTTCCCATTCGTACAATAATTCTGCGTTAAAATTCTATTATAATATTATAAAATTGCGTAATACTATTCCTATTCTAATCTATATCTATACTATATATTGCAAAAATCGCGTCGCTGTCCGCGGCGAGGAAGGCCGGAATCGGCCTCCTCCGCGACCGCCTCGCCGTCTAAACCGCCGTTTAATTTTTTTTTTTTTTTTAAGTTGTAAAGTGTCAAAAGTTTGGCATGACATAACTTTTGACTCGGTTGTCTGTTTTGGACAAATGTTTTTTTGAAATCGCATATTTTACGAGATCTATCCACCGCAAACAGCCGTAGGCGGTTTGGCCCACCAATTTCTAAAAAAAAAATACTTTATTAAATAGTTTCTAAGAAAAAACTATGAGAACCCTATGTTTTATTAATGAATTATTACAATTTTTAATTAAAAAATTGTCCTTTACATTATTTAATAATCTTTCTTTATAATTGGTCAAATTATTTAATTATGGTAAATTATGGAATAATTAATGATGGTAATAGAAATCCTAGAAGAATATAGTATTGAAGAATATTTAATTATTGTTATATTATTATTGTGACACACGGAATACAATACAAAAATATTTAATTATGGTTATATTATTATTGTGCCTCACGACCATTATATACTAACAGTACTTGAAAAAAACTAATAGTAATAATAATATAATAATAATAATATAAGTTGTAATAATAATATCTAAAAGTAATTAATGTTAATAATAATATTAACGTAAGAATTATAACATAGAATAAATCGTAATAATTAATAACTTTAGTCTAGGATTAAATTTAGAATTGTCAGGAAAGATAAGCGACCTCGGGTGAAATTAACTCTTAAATAATTATATATTGATTTAAATATTCTTAATATATTACAACAATTCCATTCTGTGCATCGCACGGGTGAAAATACTAGTTGTAGTAAAAATAGGAAAGTAGGAAATAATATATTATATTAAGAATTGTATTACACTATTTTACAATATTAGAATAAGAATTTTAATGTAAAATTGTAGTACCGATATGAAAGTAGGAAACAATATATTCTATTAGAAATTGTTTTTTTTTTTTTTTTAGAATATTCTATTAGAAATTGTATTATACTATTTTACAATATTACGCCAAATCTTAATTAGTATAGAACTATTTTGGACGGGAAGTTAAAATGAAGGATTTTATTTTTATTAATAGTATAGATTTGTATATATCTGGGACCAAAGTTCATCTTACAAAATGGATCCAGATACATGTTATTTTTAATATACAAAAGTGATATGTAATGTATTAAAATTTAAAAATGAATTTGTATTAAAATATAGGGAACTTATATATAATACATTAAAAATAAATATGTACTGCCTACTGATAATGACATAAACTTGTTTGCCACAAGTTTAATTCGACATTACATTTACTGATCTGCAAAGTGATTAAGTCATGAACTAGAGGTAGTTAGGATAGTTGAGTTGTTACGTTGCCCGCATGGATTTAGCTTAATTATTCTTCCAAAAATGTTGAACCCCAACCCTAATTGGTAGTATTTGGGGCAATGATAGTTGAGTTATTACAGTATTAAATACAGAAATGAAAAGGAATTGAAGAAGACAGCAAGATCAGAAATGAAAGAAAGTGAGTGCAGTGCATGCAGGAATTGAAGTAAACTTTGGGTTTTAATTTGTTGCTTTAATTGTGGTTGAGTCAAGTCTTCTTTCTGGGGAAGGAGCATATATGCAATACATGTCTTTTATTTTGTCGGTTGAGCAAAATATGATAAAGTTAGGGTCTTGGAAAATGGAATTCCCAGTTTCAAGCTTCAGTTTTTTTTTTTTTTCTTCTATAATTTGCTTTAATTTAATTTAATTAAGACACCTAAATTGCAGACAAACCCATCATCCTTCATAGCTTTTGCAGACTAGCTAGCTCGCACGGGCTTAGTTACTAGTTTAGTAAACAATATTTGAGAGAAGAGATAAATAGTTAAATTTGGTAGTAATACTATGGGGTATTTGACACTGTCTGTTGAACTACTGAGTCACTGTGATTACATCCACCCAAATGTTCTATATTTTATATATTATATAATCAGTACGGGCCTCTAAAATAGTATTTTCTTTAATTATTTATTTTGAGTTTAGTGACTTTGTATAATGCAATTTTAAATTAAAGAATGTCAAATTGGAAATATATATATATATATATATATATATATATATATATATATATATATATATATATATATATATAGTGTCATAAGATACTGTTTTAATTGTACTATATATTATCTTTAACTAGGAAGAAATACATATATAAAAATAAGTTAGAGTGATTGCAGATGCAGGAAGAAATTCTTTGTTCCATTATATTGTGAGTTTAGTTGGAGCTCAGTTTTCAACCAATATAATGCAGTGTTTTGTGGGTTGGCGGAAAGTGAAGTGTCCTTTATTCTCAGAATTTCAGGTATTATGAAGTTGACAGTAAGTAGGTTAGGTTGTAGGGTTTCCCCTTTAATTTAATTTGCTAAATAAAACACAGATTCTTCTTTCAATTCGCTGGAGTGACTAGAGAAGAAGCAGCCAGCAGGAACACTCTTTTTAATTGCATTATTAATTACTACAATATAATGCTTTGCTTGCTTTAAATTTAAACTTTTTAGGGAGACTTCTATCAAATTGACAAGATGGTTAATTAGTTTGGTAATTATAAAAATTTAAAGATAACATAGTTAACGTATGAGCCAATTTTAACTTATTTGACCATTATTAGCGGTTTGATATGGTTAAATAATCAATATGAATTTGATTAATTAGTTGTTCGCAGTAGCTTATTGCTTCAAGATGCTAAAATTCAAAAAGCTGTTCAAAGAAGTTTTTTTTTTTTCTTTTTTTTTTTTTAGAAAATAATTTTGCATGTAATAAGCTATCAGCTACAATTAATTTACCAAATATTTTTCTACAATTAACTAATGCTATCAACTAGTCAAATCTACTAATACGATCAGCAAACAGCTATTTACCAAACACCCCCAAAGTCTGAACTTTAGTGGAAGCAACTTAATTATTGAGTTTCTTGGTGTAAACTAATCAATGATAAACAACCTATGTTGATTTACCTTCTGATCTTGTCACCCTATACCGGTTAGGATAAGTGGCCGGGTTTATCTTGTGTATACCTTTAGTTAGTGACTGTCGGTTTACAGTTCATTTAATTCATTAAATAAGCTTTGAATATAATAGCATTTATGAAAATATACTTAAAAAAAAAAAACTTATATTAGGTGATCTTAGTTTCGTTAGACTAATCATAAGCCCATATGCATGATCCATTCCCAGAGTCACTACGGAGATAAATAGCGAGGGGCGCAATTAACCCACTAGTCAAATTTTTTGTTAATTCATAAATAGGCATTACTTATTCATTTTTATTCATTAATCATTTAATATAATCCCATTAAACACCTGAGGTACAATATAATTCTTAAAATTTATTATTATTATTTTTTACCTATTTCATTCCCAATAAAATAAGATTTTTAATTCTTTCAAAATTCATTTTCTAAACTAAATGTGTTGTATGTTATAGTGTGTTTATTAATATGATTTTTAAAAAATTTATAGAAAAATTAGAAAACATATATATTACCCCCAACACTACTTGTCCTCTAGTAAAACAAAATGATGATTTATTCATATCGATCTAAATGAATTGAGATTGAAATGTATGACAAACTAAACCTGAAGTTATAGGACAGAAGTAAAGGAATTTGTGTATACATTACATTATACAAAAGAAAAAAAAACAGCTCAAATTTCTAACCTACTCATCATAAATTAGCTTAGCTGTTCACAACATTCACTTAATTATAACTCAATGTTCAAATACTTTGATTTAAGAGAAAACCCTTAGCCGTGGTCTAAAAGGACGCTCTAAGTGAAGTTCACCTTATGATACATTAATAGTTCATTTACCGATTGTTCCAAACTGCTGAGTTCACTATCCAATTATTAAATCTCTTTTAACTTCAATTAAAAAATAATTCTTAGGGAAAAAATAAAGAAAAAAATCAAATCAAATTGTAACTAGCTCCAAACCCTAATTTAACTACTATTTACATTAGCTAATTAAACTTCACTTCTAAGGATAAGAATGAATACAAATTTAACATACAAGCAAGGCTTAAACTGCAGTGTGCATAATGAGTTACTATAGTATTTAATTTTCTAGCTGTTACTATTCAAATTACAAACAAGAAATCCATTAAAAATATATTATTACAAAGACAAAAAACATCACTACTTGTAAAAAAGTGTAGGCCAAACCATAAAATGATAATACACTTTCTCACAAAATATATATTATCTCATTTCAATACATTAATTGAAATGTAAACTTCAACATCCAATAATTACATGTTGAGTTAAACCACGCGCACGAACTAACACACGCACATACACAGTTAATTACAGAGATACATCATATCATATCATATCATCCTGATTATATATATATATATATATTATTTTCTCTACTTGCAAACTTCTCTTTGAAGCAATAGCAAAAAATCCTTTCCTTGTACATATACATAATGGGTTTGAATTGGATAAAAGTTGTTCATCATTTTAACACATGCAAGAACAATGAGTGATGCATAAATTTACCATTTCAAGTGCTTCATATATAGCTTGTAATGATGGAGAAGAAACATAAAGAGACCATAGAACCTTAAAAGATTGAAATTTGCAAACGTTAATGATAGATATATATATGTACATGAAATGTTGAAATTTGCAGATTAAACCTAACACTAGTGCTATTGCTGCCTCATACTGACTTACCTTCTAAGTCATATAAAGGATCATATCCCATGATTCATAAGGAATATATATAATACATTTGTAAATATTATTAATATTATTATTCAATTTTGATCTTAATTAGTTTGGTGGATGGATTGAATATATAATAAATTAAAGCACTTACTGGAGTTGAGAAAATGTATATATATCCGATACAAGCAATTCACAGCTTAGTTTATGCAACAAAAACAATTTTTTTGGTGTAACCAAAGTATCTTCGGTTGAACAGTAGTCGCTAATTTTTTTGCTGAATTTTAGATACTTCTCTGGACAAAACAACTGGTTGTCTGGAGATTTAAGGTTACTTTTGAGGACGAAATTACTGAGTTGTCTGGAGATTTAAGGCTACTTTTGAGGACGAAACAACTGATTGTCTGAAGATTTAAGGCCGGAAAAACAACTGATTGTTGGAAGATTTAAGATTGCTCCATAGTTTGAATGTTGAAATCTTAATGTGATGGAGCACAAGATGAATAAACAAGTGCAAGATTAATGTATCCAACCTTATCCCCATTGATCTCTCGTTAAAATTGAGGTGGTCTTGCCGCGGCGGCGGTGTTTCCAGCCCATCCGAATACTTCTGCTGAAAACGGGTAATTGGTTGGCGGCGGCGGCGGTTGTGTGTTTCCGAATGACGTTCCTCCTCCGCCTTCGCCGCCTCCTGTGACGCCGGATGTTTGTGACGCGGCGGTGGAGGACTGAACCTGCTGCCCAGCTGCGGCGGCGGTGGCATTGCCTGCGCCTCCCTCGGCTTCCTCCTCCAGAGGGAGGCGTTCGAAAACCGCATTGGCGAACGTGGCAGCCATGAGCACTACCGGGCCGGAAGCCATGAGGGGGCCCACCACGGTCCCGCCCACGACCTGCCCCTGTCCCCCTGACAAAAATATCGACAGGCCGCCCGCGCCGGGCGGCGCGGGCGGCGGGAGGACCGTTCCGGAGAGCGACAGGATCTCGAAGCGGCCGTGGAGCGTGACCACACTCCCGGCGGGCGAGGACGGCTGACGCAAGGTGACGTTAGTGACGGTGCCGCTCCCGCTGAGCACGCAGACGCCCCTCCCCCTCCGCCGCGCGTAGCTGGTGACGCTGTCGAGGATGTCGGCGGCGGCGGAGATTTCCAGCACGTGAGACCGCAGGGCATTAGGGCTGTCTCGGGTCACAATGATGGGCGGCTTCGGCTTGTTCTTCGACCCCGGCGGACGGCCTCGAGGGCGACGGCTCGAGGTAGACCCACCTCCTCCTCCTCCTCCTCCCCCTCCGCCGGAGCTTGTACCCGCCGCATCATTATCCGATTTCACTTCCTTCTGGTCGGAGGAATCGGAGGTAGGGGTTGTAGGCAAGGCGGCGGCGGCGGCGGCGGAGGGTAGATGCTGAGAGAAATTAGATTGGTGGTGCAACTGAAGCTCAGGCGTACTAAAGAGCTGGTGAACGAAACCGGGAGGAGGAGGAGTCTGATGATGATGATGATTAAACCCCCCGCCACCGCCACCGCCTCCGCTACTGCCCATCCCGGCATCTATTCTCTCCCACCACTTGTTGTTGTTAGCCAGCTTTAGCTTCTTAGTCAACTTACCACTATATATATATACGATGAGGCCGGATTAATTAGCTCGCCGGCCGGCCGACTAAATAACCTCTCGATCAGCGCACTTTGTAGATGGATCGATCTGATTATCTGAACAAGATCGATCTCTCAGCTTCATCCCAAGTAATCAACAAATTCAAGGAAGAAGAAGAAGAATTGAAGCAGCTAGCAAAACTGGGTTTCTAATCCTCCAAGAAAACCTTAAAACACGTCATCATAGATCCATCGAACAACCACATATAAATAAACATACACAGATCCACCGTTTCTGTTGACCCGGCAGTCTAAAGAGAAGAAGGAGAGAGAGAGAGAGAGAGAGAGAGAGAGAAATCTGAAGAAGGAGAAGAATGGATGAAGTTGGTGAGCTTGATTTAAGCATGTATAGTAACCAAGTTAATTAATTATAAACATAAGTTCAGACAAGAGAAAGTAAGAAATGGTAGCCAAGAGAAAAATATTCTGAAAAAAAAATCTACAACGAGTAATTTGAATGTCCACTGCCATAAATAAAATTTAAAAATGATTATACTTTTATAAATAAAATAAAATAATAATTTTACTTTTACATTTTATAAAAATATTATTAGAGTAATTTTATTTATAATAATCACATTTTAGAATTTTCTTAAGACATTCCAATGTCAAATCTTTATCCGGTAATGCTTCCCAACTCGGCTTTGTACAGAAAACACAAACCCATCCAATCAACAAAAGGATCATTCTTTGCCGGGCCCTGTGATTAATATAATAATAATATTCAACAAAAACCTTAATTACTCATCTTACGTATATATTATGTACGAGCTGAGAGATTTTTCTTTTATTTTATTTCATAGACATATAAATACGTTTTTATAAATTTAAAATAAACTTTTAGTGATCGAGTCTTTTGATTATATATATTTATTGTTTTGCAGTGCAGTGGTTTCTTAACAAATAAGATGAGACGAATAATAATTAATTTTTTTTTTTTTTTAAAAAAACAAATTTAAAAAGTAATTTTGACAGCATCTGAGAATTGCCGAAAACGCAAGTAGTATCGGTGATGGGTGAATGAAGGAAGCATATGGAATATAATCCCTATCTTTACAACTTAGACTTTGCTTTTATTTCAATTGTCTAATGTGATGTTGAAACTCTTAATCTTAAAATTAAAGATGTATTCTATCTCAATTAAAAATATAAATTAATAATTGAACTGCACATTTATATTTAATATATTATATACTTAACAACTTGAGTTAAGTTAATTTTACTATATGGTGAATCAAGTCTATAATTTGGGATGGAGGAGTATATAATTTAATAAAGGATGATAAGCAATATGATGTATTGATGTTAATTAGTGTGTATTAATTACCTAATTCTTGCTTTAACAATAGCCAAATGTATAACAACTATACAAGTATAAGAAAATAAATTTACACATTTTCTACAAGTTATAACTTTTTACACATTTTCTACAAGTTATAACTTTTAGTGTAATGGTAATTAAATGTTTAATTTTGATACCAGTGAATAATAAGCTTCCTAAGGTCAAAGGAGACTTTAATATTGTTAATATAAAAAAACTCGGAAGGACTCATTCATCATTAACCAAAGGTCAAGAGTTCGATCCTCGATTTTGGGTATGGAGCAACCTTAAATCTGGTCTCCAAGCCAGTTATCCCACCCAAAAAAGAGATGCATACAATTCAGCGAGGAGATTAATCATTGTGTGCAACGGTGGAATCCCTAGGTACATCCAAAAAAAATTGTCAATATAAAAAAATATTACCAAGAAAAAAAACAAAACAAAACAAAACCCTAATTATACATGTCAAAATATTTCTGCGCATTTATACACACATTATTTTCCACTTTATAATTGTGGAGAAACTATTGGCAGTCCTTAAAAGTCAGATCATCACCATCTCACTCAACTCGTTTAACATTGGTCAAAAGTAGTTTAAACATATATATATATATATATATATATATATATATATATATATATATATATATATATATATATATATATATATATATATATATATATATATATATATATATAGCTAGTCAACTTTATGTGAATGCTGAATCGATTAGCTCAATATTTTATTTTATGTATAAAAGAAAATGAAACATGCAATATACTATGAACATGTAAATATATGCATCAATTTTCATTTATTCACTTATTGGTTAACCAATACCATATTTCTACAATATTATTTTTGTAACTTTCATGCCACCATGTCAACCTTATTAAATAAAAATGTGTGTTGGTGTTTCGATATGATTAAAATACTCTTACTTTATGTTTTTATTTTATTTTTTAATTTTAAAATTAAAGAGGCATTGTAGTAAAATTAAGGACGTAAAATTTTTATATATACGATGGAGAGTAATAACACGATAGCAATAATAAGAGGATAACATACTTTTGATTTATGGGAAAATCCGCAGTCTGAAGTGCGCTCTTGTTAAAGCCTAGAGAATAGCGTATTTAATTTACTAGGAGAAATTATGATGGAATGGAAAATAATAATGTTATTTTCTTTGTAGAATTTAAGTTTTAATTTCCATTTCTTGATATAATAATAACAAATTAAAACTCTTTATATTTATTTCATGGTTGTTCGTGAATTAGTTGATTGTATAGTGTTGAAAATGAATTCACTCAATAATCTTTAAAAGAAAAAAAAAAAAAAACAATCAAGTAGTGCTAAACTAATTTGGAAGTGAATTTTATGAAAGAAATGTATTATAATCACTCCAACGGAATTTACATTATTGATTGATGCTATAAGGAAATCCATTTGGCTTGATTGGGACTGTACTGTTTGATGTAATCATAGAAAAGCAAATATGAGCATGCACTCTAGATCCATTATTATATCATTCATCATAATCCATCTTAATTAGAAGATAGACCATTAACGTAAGTTTTACTTTTAGATATTTAATCTTTAATTTTAATATATTGAATATTCATTTTTAGTATATCGAATGTTTATTTTTATGTATACTACTGATAAATGATAAGTGTCTAATTGTTCATATTTGTATATCTTGCATTTAAGTTTATTTTGCTTGCCATTTGTTATAATTTTACTCAAAGTTTCCTTATTTATTTGATTCATTTGTGTGTTTAGTTATAATTATTGATGATTGTGATGAATTAAATGATTTTTAGAGCATTTTGGATGCATTTAAAAGTCAAAGGGAGTCAATGAAAAGTTAAGGAAATGGGGCAGGAGAGCCAAATAGTGGTATTTTCAATGGCTTTGATCATTTAGGCAAATCAAGGCAAAAGTGGAACAAAACGGCAAGATATTGTAATTTTCGCACATGTCCACTGCTTAGTATGTCCAAATCAAGTGATTCATGCGTCATTGGAAAGCCAACTCAATGGGCTACATCTTTCATGCGGACCATCAAGCCTAATTCTGATGTTAAAATGGTCAAAAATACTAAGGAAGATGTTAGAATGCACGGGCGACAACACGCTCGTGTCTCAGCCCGTGCACCATACCACTGCTCTCCAAATTGATTTTCTTTCTATTTTTAGCACGAGCACCTACACGCTCGTGTCTCAACCCGTGTAGCTACCCTTGTGTCTCGTTTCCGACCCCTAGACGAATCCTAGTTAATTTCTTTCATTTGTTTTCATATTTTTAGGTTAGATGACGGCCGGAAAGAGAGGAAATGGGGGTTTGGGAGGACAACATTGAAGAATAGGAAGGAAAAGAGGGCTAACCTTAGAAAGACGAAGGGAAGATGGCCGGATACTGGACGGAAACTGACACTGGGCAGAAGGGTTGGCCGGAGGAAAACGCTGGGTCGCGGAAGAGGAAAGAAGGAGAGGTCTCCTGGAAATCTGTTAGGGAATGAGGTGAAATTGAAAGGAAAAGAGGGGGGAAGTTGTGAAGTATTTATAAGAAAGGTCAGCGCGGCTGCCCAGATTGTGACATGTTTCACTCACCGGTCGGCCGGCATACATATGTAACATCTGAGAAGACGGTTACGAGGGGGTACCTTATCGAAAACATAAACGACGGGAAACGAAGAGACGTAATTATTGCACCTCATTAACCGTACCTTTTGCGGAACCAGTCAGGAAAAAGGGAACCGGTCAGGATGATCGGGAAGCTAGCGATGTGGACGGTCTCAACATCAACCCGATTGACTGCGACCTTGCACTCAGCTACACTGCAAGATTGACAGTTGAAGAAGAATCCAGTCGGCACTCATCCGCCCTCAGATTCTCGAGAACTACACTTGTGAATTTTACTTTCTCAAGATGTCGCACAGCTAGGTCTCAAGAAAGTGAGGGACTAGTGATGGATACCCTAATAGGGTACCCAGTCAGGCGTGCCCCTAGGCGGTCAGGTGGATGCGTCTAAAACACTTAGAAGTATAACGAGAAAGAACCCCATCGGCTTAAGGCTCGTCTACCCCTAGTTCAGCTCGTCAGTCGACTCGGTCGAGTCATTAGACTAGGCAGTCTGTCGGTTCTCCCGACTGGGTGCCACGTCTAGTGGCGGTAGATGAAGATTTTGCGAAGATTCTTTCCTTTAGTGGCGGGGTATCTTCCTTTTTCTCATTAGGAAGCTAACCTAGCAGCTCTGGAAGCGTTCTTAAGTCTGAATTAGTTAGTTTCTTCTTCTTTGCCTTTTTCAAAGCCCAAGTTCCTTTCATAAATACCCTCTAAGGTCACAGTAGTGTAAAAGATTAGTTCTGATTTTAATACAAGTATTCGTTACTTTGCTCCACTTTTCTCTCAAATATTCTACTTTATTTAGTACTTTTACGGTAGTGTTAGTCCGCTGTCCAGTTGCCCTAAGCCGTAAAATCAACAGTACCGGCCTATACAATCATGCAAGTATATTTGATATCGTTATAATAATTTTATAAACACCAAAGTTAACAATAATGCTCGGCACAATTGGACATATCATATATATCAGGTTTGAGTTATATGTTAAACAACTATCTAAGCATAATAGAATTTATCAATATTGATATCAACAATAACAAACTATAACTAGACATACAGGTGCCAAATTCAACCTTAGCTTTTTACCAACCATATAAATTTACTATATATATGTGTATGTGTGAAACTTTAGTTCGTTAGAGCATAAATGAAGATGGAAGTGGCATATATGCAGGCGATAGTAGTATAAGTTAGACACGTGGAATGTGAGTTGAATGGATTAATGGAGAGAGCATATATGATATACCCAAAGAGGACTGGGGCGGGGGCTTGTGGATGAAGAATTTTGACATTTTGTGTGTGTATATGTGTATGTATGTATGTATATGTATGAGCTTTTACTGGCGGCATGGGATTAGATGAGCATGCAGAATTGCAGATAGATAGAGGATCGCCGAGAAGGGTATAGAGAGGTGGCAGTCACGTGCAGTCAAAAACAGGGAGCGTGAGCATGGACACCTTGTCAGACCACGTGGATGCTGTCGGGACATCGGTACTTGGTCTATTTCAATCATCATTTTTTTTATTCCTAATATCTATGTGCTTGTACTATGAATCAATTCAATGAATAAATAATTGGAATAAGGTTCAAATAAGTTATTGAAGTAGATACAAAAATGTAATTGGATCATTAAATTAAAAAAAAAATTATAATTCAATCATCGAATAATTTAAAAAGATACAATTATACCAAATAACATATTACTTTACTTTGTCACCCGTTATCTTACTCACATAGCACTAATTTAACTTATTTTATTATTGAAAAGAAAAATAAAGACAGTCACACAGACTTCTTTCAATCAGTCCCTGATTGGAGACCAACAATCTCCAGATCAATGGAGACGAAGATGCTTCTTCGTCTCCATGGATCTAAACACCTTGATCTATCCATGGAGACAAAGAAGCATCACAATCTCCATAGATATAGAGATGAAGATCATTGGAGACAAAAGGTCAGTGTCCATTGATCTTCATCATCTCCAGATCCATGGGGACGAAGATGCTTCTTCGTCTCTATGGATTTGGATCTTTGGTCTTTGAACGGAGACCGATTTCTGTGGTTGAAACTGGCAGCCTGCGTGGTTTTTTTTTTTTTTGTTTTTTTTTTTTCAAGTTTGTATAATTAAATAGTTAAAATTAATGCCACGTAAATAAGGTAATATGTGACAAAGGAAAGTAACATGTTATTTGGTACAATTGCATCATTTTAAGTCATTCGATGACTTAATTGTAACTTTTTTTTTTTTTTAGTTCAGTAGTCTAATTGCATTTTTATGCCTACTTCAATGGTTTATTTGAACCTTATTCCTAAATAATTCAACCTTAAAAAATTAAAGCAAACTTCTCAAATAATTTTGTTGGAGTTTTTCGTACTTTTGGCTCAACGAGTATTGTGGCATTAACAAAATTAAAATTTGCATAATTAGCCTACAAGTATCAATTTCTTAGCGCAAATGGTCATTCCGATGAAATTCCTATCACCGAAAAAATTATTTCTCCTTTATAGCATGTGTACAATGGTCTTTTCCTTTTACCACTACGTTTTCTCTTTAGAATTTTTAACACTTTTGGTCCCACAAGTATTGTGGCACAAACAATGTTGATCTATAACTTTCAAAATTTGCATAATTTGTCCATAAGTATCAATTTCTTAGCGTAAATGATCATTCCAGTGAAATCTACGCAAAAGGACAAGACCATTATACCCTTGCTATAAAGGGGAAATAATTTTTCTGGTGAAAAATTAACGGAGTTTTACCGGAAGGACCCTTTGCGCTAAGAAATTGATATTCGTAGACTAATTATACAAATTTTAAAATTTATGAATCAACATTGTTAGTGTCACAATATTCGTGGGACTAAAAGTGCGAAAAAATTATTTTGTTGGGTATATTTTTTTTTTAATGAAGAAAAAATAGAGATGGTCGCGGGTTATGGTAGAATAAAGACCCACTTCCACGATTCAACTTGAGTTCAAACTTATTACAATTTAGACAATCAAAAATTTAATAAGTAAAATACTTGGTGTACTCCCATTTTAAACTCTCAACTTGTACTCCTTCTCACATGTTTTTGATGTAGACATTTTTCTGTGGACCCACATGATGAAAATAACCATCCTGATTTGCTACCTCAAAAAGTATAAATGAGGGAGTAGAATTTTGGGAGTATGTAGTAGAAGTCATAAAATAATCTTGTTCATAAGACAAGTACAACAAGTTTTGTTTTAGCACAATATGATTTTGATAGAAGAGTAAGTGTCAAATCAGATTGTACTATACATTCGTCCCTAAATATAAGTCATTTCATAATTGATTATAATTAAATGATACATTGTGACATACATAGATAAAGCATCCTAGATTCCCAGTACCCAAAATCCATGAGATAGATGTTTTTTCATAAAACACATCAAAACTTGTAAATTATTTTAACTTGCATTCACCATTAACACAATTAGAATGATACATTTTTGCTGAGGCAATCAAGTTAGTCAGAGAGTTGGGTTAGTAATCATAAAATTTTATATTTGACTCTTAGTAGTAATTGTTTATTGATTTTCTTGATTTGAGTTTGTAAGTTATGAATAAATTAAATTGATTTATGTTATTAATTGTAACCTTTTGTTGACTATGGTCACAAGGTGAGTCTAATCCAAAGTACACATTCAAATAACGGCAATAAATTTTCCCATAAATGAAAGAAAGAAGCATTTCCAACACATTTATCATTTCACAATTTGTTCATCACTTAGTGCTTAATTAATCTTTAATGTCCCTAATTATAATATTTAGAGAAAATTGTACTTTTCATCCTTAAGCTATAGAAAAATTGTAGAATTCATCTCTAAGTGTTAGTCGTGTTTACTTTTCGCCCCATAATTATCATTGGGTTGTATTTTTCTTTTTTTTTATTAACTTTTCGTAATCACTTTTTGTCCATGAGTTATTCTAAAGTTTCAAATTTTGTCCCTAATGTTTTGTTAGTAAAGTGATGAAAAGTGCAACGCCAAGTCGCCAATAATAACTTAGGGACAAAAAGTGAGCATGACCAACAATTAGAGACGAATTCTACAATTATTGTATACTTTAAGGACAAAAATACAATATTTCTTAATACTTTATAGAAATATTTTAATGATATAATTGGGTTGTGTAACAAAAAGTAATATATTATATCTTTGTTTTATATTCCTTTATTTTTAAACAAAAAGAATTAATAAAATAAAAAAAAAAAAAAAAAACTCTAGTAAATCGGGATGAAAAATTACTTTTACCATAATGGTATCACGATGCCGGAAAACTCCAGTTAGCACGCAGATCAAAAGATTTTTAACACATGAAGTCTTAACAACATACTGTGTTTGTGTTTATGGTGGTTTGTTTGGTAAATATCTAATAGTTGTTAGCTGTTTGTCTGATCGGGTTAGTAGATCTGACTAGTTGATAGTATTAGTTTATTGTAGAAACATGTTTGGTAAATTAGCTACATACAAAATGGCTTTCTCAATTGATCGAAAAAATTGTTTTGAACAACTTTTTGAATTTTAGTGTTTTGGAACAATAAGATGTTACAAAAAAACAAATTAATCAAATATTTATATTGGATGTTTAGCCCAATCAAACAGCTTATAATAAATGGTCAAATAAGTTAAAATTGGTTGATGCCAAGCACCTTGTGCTCAAATGGCACCCGGATTGGACTCCCGTATGAGGGGTTGTGAGTTTGAGCCTCAGTGGAGGCGTTATTGGCTCTTTGTACTTCAATAGATTGAGAAAGTAGTTATGAACAGATACTACATTATAATAGAGTCAATAGCATTCAAAAAAGAAAAGTTAAAATTGGTTGATAAGTTAATTATGTTACCAAACAGGACCAATATATTTCAATGAAAAGAAAAATTATATCATTGGTTTTCAAATTGTCAAAGTTATTTCTTAGTCATAAGTTATGCACTTTTATAAATATAATTTGTAATTTTGTCACGATTACATGTATAGTTCATTATTGACATACAAAAAATATTAAATTAAATAAATAATAAAAAATATCAAAGTACAACTTAATTAATTGAACAATCTAAAATAAATTTATATACTCCATATTTATTTATTTTTGGAGGCATGTGCACTAATTAAAATAAATTTCGCTGGAAATCTTTTCCTTCAATTCTCTTGGACAGAATGGTACAATTCTTTTAATAAATAACAAAAATATGATATTAATAAAAAACAATTAAAAATTACAATGAGTAATCATGCAAAAGTCAAGAATTTTTTATTTTTTTTTTAAAGAAGGAAAAAGGCAACAATTTTGGAATAAAAATATGTTAAGGGATGAGAATTTTTCTTTAATTTGGCCTCTCAGTCTCTCACCTTTTCCCCATTTCTCTCCCTTTCAGTCTTTGTTAGATTCTTGAGAGTTGAGATGTGAAAATCCGGCAGATTTAGAGGGGGGCTGTCCTCATAAAATAGGGACAATAAAGCACCACAACTTTGTCTTCTCTTCATACACATTATATATGCATGGAGCTCCCCACCCACAAATTATATTCTTCCAAAAAATTCTATAGTGTATTCTTTAAGAATATATTGTCTTCCTATATTATTATTTACTATAATAGAATACAAATTTATAATTCATTTTAAAAAAAATATATTTTTTTCTCTAAATTATATGGTTATATCACTTTTACCTTCTAAATTATTTATGTATTAATATTAGCTCTCTCAACTATTTTAAAAGTGATGATTATTGTTTTCCTATTTCTATTAAATAGATATTTTTACTCTTAAAAATAAGGGTAGACAAGTATTTTATTTATTTTTTTTTCTAACAAATTATTATTGCTTAAATTTAAAAATTAAAATAAATGCGAAAAACAGACATCATATACAAATATTATAATTATAATTTTAAACTAATGACAGTAAGTAGTAACAGAATTAAGAGTTAAACACAAATAATTCATTAAAGCTGATTTAGCATTAATGAATTATTTGTGTTTAAGTACGTCTTTGCTAGTATTAGTTTAAAATTATAATTAGAACATTTGCAAATGGTGTTTTCTTTCTTTCTTTTTTTTTTTTTTGTATTTTTTTGTTCCAACATATATAAGTTATAATTTGTTGGAGAAGAAAAATAAATGGAATACTTATTTAATCCTTATTTTTAAGGGTAAAAATGTTCATTTTTATATAAAGACCGGGGAGAAAATTCTCACTTTTAAAATAATTGAGTGGGTTAATATGGATACATAAATAATTCAAGAAAAAAAAACATTGCATATAATTCAACAAAAAAAGTGTTGTTTTTCCTTCCAAAAAACGAAGCAATATCTATGGCCTATCAACAAAAATGTTTATATATATATATATATATATATATATATATATATATATATATATATATATATATAAACATAATAAGTGTGAATGAAAGTTATACCCTTAATTTATGTCCATTTTTTCCGTTAAGTTTTTTTGCACATTATGCTATAAAGGTTGAACATTAAAATATTTTGGACAAACATACACCTACCGTTATAACTTCCGTTATCTTTTCCACTATTGTTACCATACACATGCATCCGCCATATATTTTCTTATCTTCTTCATTAATAATAATATATACACATTAAATATTTGAGTTATATGTTAATTATTACATAAATATAAATATCAAATTTATAAAAATGATTTACATTATTATGATTATTATTATTATTATTATTTAGAATAATTTAAATATATAAAATCTAAATAAATTTAAAATTTTAATATAATGTATTAATATTGAGCACCTATTTTTTGCGCATCGCGCATAAAAAAAATACTAGTCTAATGTGTATATATATAGTTTATTGTTGAATTATTCTTTCCATTTGTTTTAGTTTTTAAAGTAAAAAGTTTTTATTGATTTGTTTGTGGTTGGGCAAGTGAATGAGAAATAATAAGAGATTGAGTGGACGGGGAATACTTGAATTCCAGCGTCAGATATGAAAAAGATGGATGTTAGTTGTGGGCATGAAGTGACATTGACGCTCCATTAATGGCATCATATGTCTTGATTTTGGCATTCCCATCAACCCTTTCTTTTCTTTCTTTCCGCCCTTTAATTTATACATCCAAACAAAAATTAACACCCGGATTTGGATGAGTGCTACTACCTTATATATATACCATAAATGAAAATAGAATAAGTGTAATATAAGATTCCATAACATAATAGGGAAAATGTCTATTTTAGTCCATTAATTATGTCTAAATTGTAGTCCAATAATTTATGGACCGAATCTACAATTTAGGCATAATTAATTGACTAAAATTATCATTTTCCCAACGTACAACACTTTTTAATTAAAATATAGCTCATTTTTAACCATTTAGTTGTTTTAGAGCAATTCCAATTCCAATAGTGGAGTTTTTTTTTTATTTTTTTGCTTAATTTTTTCAGGCCAAGTAAGAACGAAAATGAAAGGGAAATGAAAAAACAAAAATAAAAACAAAACAAAACAACAAGATTAACACGCCAACGTACAGTCAAACAGAGCTTTTTTTCTTCTTCTCCTCGTGAGTCTCCAAAAAAAAAAAATATATATATATATATATATATATATATATATATATATATATATATATATACTACAACTACATCATCCGTTCTCTCTCTTATTTCTCTCCCTACCAACTTGACATTGACCCATAAAAAACTCTCCAAAAATCCTTATTAAGATTGTTTTTAAATTTGTCAAATAATCAACACATTAATCACTCTCTTTAGTTAATGGGGGTGTAAGTCACCCTCTTATTAAAATCATCCATTACTAGTAAGATTCTTTCTACCCAACAAAAGAGGAGGCACTCCCTCCCCCAAAATTCCTTCACCATTCATGTAATTTGGTGGGTATTGACACCACATCAAGCTCCACTACATAATGAAAGCTCTATTCTTTCACCAACTTAAATCCTGTAGAGAAAATTAATATAAATTGACATTTTAAGTGATCATTTTCAGGTATTAATTTGAGCATGGTTCACTTCTGATCATGTCGGGTTGAAATGGATTCAGATTCTTCTTGTTAAGAGGATAAATTTGATATATTATACACTCAAAATAAATAATTAGTAAATAAAAAATAATTTTTAAAGTGTACTCATTGAATTAAAAATATATGAAGTCTAGCATACTACACACTACCCGTCTACAAGATTACACATTAGAAATGGTTATATACTGAAATTATGTGTTCTGATCGAGGAGGGATTTGTGAGACCGTAAAGGGATTTAATTCAATATAATAATGACACTTGGGTTATTTCAACACTGGGGTTCCCTAGTATATTAAAAAAATGGTTAATTTAGCAATCAAGAATTGGTTAATTTTTTTTTTTTTTTTTGAATGCTATTAGCTCTATTAGATTGTAGTATCTGTTCATATACTTTCTCAACTTACTGAAACACAAAGAGCTAATAACGCCTCCATTAAAGCTCGAACTTACAACCTTCCAAATGGAAGTCCAACCTAGATACCATTAGACCACATAATCCTGGTATCAAGAATTGGTTAATATTACAACAAAATAATGAAATATTTGTATAAATTGCATGTAAAAATTAAAAGTTGTCGCTAAATTGTTATCTTGTCTTACTTGTTTTGTAATATAGGTCATGAGGGATCTCTCGTATATAATTCAACAATAGCTTAACTTAAGTTAATAATAGGCCATGCTTGGCATAATATAACTTAAAACTCGCTTAAAACTGAAAGTACAAAAGTTCGTACGTAGCTAGCTATTAGTTTATTTTGAAACGTTACTTGGAATAGTGTTTCAAAATAAACTCTTGACTTTTTAACTTTTTTTCTTTTTTTTTTTAATCTTTATTAATTTACAAAAATCTCACCATCTATCTTTCATTAATCAAAATCCTAATATTTTAGTTTATCATTTTATGTCTTTTTTGTTGTAATTTGTTGTTTGTGCCCGTTGGTCTTTAGCTCCTAATCGGTGAGTTGCAGGATTGGATCAGTAATATAAAGATAGTAAATGTAGAACAAGACATAGGGGAGAAAGGAGAGTCAGGATTCCATTTTACGTATTTGCGAGAAGAAGGATTCCATTTTACTAGCATCAACTTTACAAATGGGGTACACACACACACACACACACACACACACACACACACATATATATATATATATATATATATATATATATATATATAATAAAATAATAATGACATACATAATAAGACATTAATATGTCTGTTACAAACGTTACAAAATAATGTCCACCATTAATATTTATAACATCCCCCTTAAACATTATTTGTCCATGATCTTGCCTCGTTAAAAACTTGCTAGAAAAATCACGTGGGATAAAACTAGACCAAAAAAAAAGAGTACAAGATACATAGATAGTATATTTAAAATACATTCATACTTATCAACTAATTCAATAATTAATTTTACCAAACATTTTAATTTTAATTAATTAACTTATTAGCTATTAGCTTTTCAACTTTTAACTTTTCAGCTAAGTGAGTCAAATAGATTCATAGTATTTTCTAATTATTAAATACTCAATGATTTAAAAATAGGTTCAAACTTAGAAGAAAAGAATTGAAGATTAAATATAAATAGTATATCTAAAAGATATAAATTATAGTACAAGTAAAATTCTTTTTTTATTTTTACTAATTATTAGGAGATTAGGTATCATGGTCAGTGTTGTATATTTTATCCATTTTTTAAAATAATATTATTAATAATGTAATATTATACATATGGTTACCAGTGCGACCAAGATTTCACTGAGACTTTTCCACCAATCAGGAAATCTAGTATGTGCTTAATTATCTAATAAAAACTAATTAATTATTCTCTTTTAATAATATAAAAACTTTGCAATAATAAAAGTTTTAATAGATCCTCACACAAATAATAATTCTTTAGAGAACACCAGCGGCGAGCCATGATTCACATATATATTTATATAATGCAATAAAAAATGGAACAATATTTTTTATTTAAGATAAAGCACAATATATACTTTGATATTAGCGTGGGTGAAAGGTCTTAATTTTTGTCTATTCAACAAATAGAATATGTCTATGCATTGATTGGTCAATTTAAAAATAAAAAATAAAAAAATCACTTCACAAATTCGAGAGGGACGATGAAGATAACATATATAAAATAAAAAAATATATAACTTCACTCTTTAAGTTTAAGTTTTTAATTGAAATAGAATATATCTTTCATTTAATTTTAAGAATTTTCTCATTCATGGTGTTTGATTTTAAAAAATGTTATACTTTTGGTCCATTGACTTTAAAAGCCATTTTGCTTTTACTTCAAAATATTGAATGTTTCGTTTTGGGTATTTGGTAAATAGCTATTAGCTTATTGTGTTAGTAAGTTTGACTAGTTAATAGCATTAGCGGATTGTAGAAAGATGTTTGGTAAATAAGTTGTTAGCTGATAGATGCATACATGCAAAATGACTTTCTCACAAAGCTAATCGAAAAAGCTGCTTTAAGCAACTTTTTGTGATCAAACATGCAAAAACTAATTAACCAAACATTCAGATGGGTTGTTTAACCAAACAGTCGTTATATTATAGACCGCGGTGCATGTGCACCGCGGTAAAAAACGGCGCCGTTTCTTTAAGTAAAGAAACGGCCCGCCGTTAGAGTTAACGGAGTCCGCTTGTTTGGTGTATTAAACACCAACTGACACTATAGTATATCTAAACCGACACTGCAGTTATATCAAAATGATACTGTAGTTATAGTGAAATGAAACGGCAGTGTATATAAAATGAAACTGAATAACATTTCACATATTTGAGTATATATTGTACAATGAAGCTGTAATTATATCAAAAATGATCATGTAGTTGTGTTTTAATGAAACTATAGTGTATATAAAATAAAATTAAATAACATTTTCACATATTTGAGTCTATAAATATCGAATGAAACTATAGTTATATCGAAATGAAACTGTAGTTGTGTTGAACTGAAACTACAGTGTATACAAAATGACACTGAATAACAGAGTTACTTTTTGCAAAAGGGTGCGAAACGGCGGAAACTAACACTGTTTATTTTCATTTAAAAAAAAACGTGCGGTGCATAATATAATTTGCCTTAACCAAATCAAATAACTAATAGTGGTCAAACAATTAAGCTAAAAGAATCTAAAATTATTTTTTTTGTACTAAAATTATTTTATGCATGCAATACAAACATTTTCTATTTACAAAGTAGTGTTTGTTCTATACTTTCTCAAAATATAGATTTTCAGCCCAAAAAAACTAAACCCTCACCACTAGAGTTCAAATTTATAACCACTTATTTGAAATAATAACCATGATGACATCACATTACATGGTAGTTTGCAGTCATTCACTACTATCAATCCTTATTCTTATTTCATTATTTTCTTCCTTATAATTTTTTATGTTAATTCAATTAATTAACTCTGTCATACTAAAATAAACTATATATTAAAACTCAGTTTGGTTGAAGTCTTTAAGATTAAAGCCAGCCGAAAAAATGGACCCCAGTTGATTATGCCACAATTAAGGGATAAGCATAATAATTGTTTAAGAGTTAAAAGAAAGCACAAGATACTACCTAGTGCCATGGTAACAACCTTTATTAATTTAATCATCAATAATTTTTATTTTCAATTATATTTTTAAAGCAATCTTAGTTTTGAATTTATCAAACCTTTGCAATGGGCAATATAATATTTCACTACTTAAATGATTTAGCATTTAATTTGGTTTAATGTCTCCAAATAAAATTAAACATTTGTATTTGACATATCTACTAAGTAAAACGAAACGAAATGCTTCGTCCTCATTTTAAGATCAAATTAAACCGAAAAGTTAGACTTGGTTTTTGAAGCAATCTACTCCGTATTATTCAAAACCAATTTTTTTTAATGTCTATTATAATGTAGTATTTAAATCTATTGAAACACAAAGAGTTAATATTACCCTACTAAAGCTCGAATACATAACCTCCTAATTAGAAGAATTACTTTATGTCACTAGACCACAAAGTCATTGATGCTACACTCCAATATAATGACAACAAAAATGAATATGCTAACATCATCGATTAATTAATACAAAATGGTTTAAATGAAATATCACAAAAAATTTAACTAAAAAGATAAAACTTTATGTAAGAATGATAGGATTAGAATAATTAAATCTTGCCTGTATGGACAGTTCAACTGGTCATAGGGGTAAAGTTTGGGAAGAATGATCAGGGATCGAGTTTCATCAGCAACAGTGTGGGAGCAACCTCTCAAAGTGAGTTGCTAATTGTGCACAGTAAGCAAATATCTAGCCTCATTGGTTCAGTTGAGTTATCATGTTTTACCTTTATCGGGTCGGGAATTCAACCTTTTGGGAAGAATAATTAAATCTTATCACTAACTAATTAATCCCATAGATTCCGGTAGGCGAGGTTAATTATTGATTACTTAATTGAAAGGTTAATTAAACGAAATGAAGTTTATGATTGAGATGAGGTTTGATCATTTATATGATACTGATAGAAGAGGTGGCCTGCCTAGTCAGCAGCTTGCCCCAGTGTTCCCTTTGTCGTCTTCTCCATCAAAGAATCATTTTTTTCTTTTTCTTTTTTTCTTTTTTAAGCTCATCAAAGTATAACACTGTCCGTCCATCGTGTCCTAATTTCCACGATTTGACATCTGACCTAATTAAGTAACTCTCTAGCTCAATTGGTTTATGATATTGTGTGAACGTTAATTTAATTCAAAATAATTTTATATTTAATTACCGTAGTGATATAATGTCATAAGAGTTGATTCTTAGTTTAGTATGTACTCAATGTAAGTATATATGGTGTTATATTTCAATTCAGCTCTCGATTAATAATTTGGTGACTAATTGACGTTAACATTGATGATTTCATCATTAACTGTGTAATGATTTACCTTATAAAACTTATGAAAATAAATCAAGAGAAAATGACACTTTTTTCTCAATGTGTTATATATTTATAGTACTTCTTTCCTCTGAATTATGTAAGTAGCAGTTTTTCCTTCTGATATGTTAAATGGACATATTTATCGTTTTTTCCAACAAATTATAACCAAGATTTGGTTCAAACCAAACAGACTATAGCAACCAAACAAAAAGGTTCTGATGATATTTTAGAACTGGAACCCGATATTTAGAGTTTATTAAAATTGCGAATCGAAATTGTCAGTTCATGTTCTAAATTGAAAAAATAAAATACATCAATTGTTTAATTTAGAATATTTAAAAAAAATTAAAAGAAAGTTTGAACCAGCAGTTCAAATTGGATCTGAAATCGTGAATCGATAGTTCAAAATCGAAATCAAATCGCTGTTATATATACTTATATGTGAGAATCAGAATAAATGTGAAAAAGAACATACACTATTTGCAAATATTATAATTCTAATTTTAAATTAATGCTTGTAGGTCTTCTGATTCTAAACTCTGGTTCACGGTTTAGGATCCATTTTTTTCAGTTTACGATTTTAATAAACTGAAACCCAAATATTGGGTTCTGGTTCTGAATCATAACCGAAAAATTTCGATTTGATTGTTATAGTGTTCGGTTCAGTTCGAATCGAACCGTAGTCACCCTTACGTATAAGGAATAATTTGTTAAAGATGATAAATAAATAAAATATTTATTTTAAGGGTAGAAATGTCTATTTAATATATCAGAGGGAAATCACCACTTTTATAATAATTGAAAGGACTAATGTGAATACATGAATAGTTTAGAGAGAAAAAGTATTATAAGCATATAATTCAAGAGGAAAAATATCATTTTCCAAAAAAAAAACAAAAATTAGTAATAAAGGTGTTGGTTTTACGATTAGTGCAATTAAGGGCTGGCTAACACAACCGGTTGAAAACAAAGTGTATAATGCTCATAAGAACTCGAAAGAATAGGATATTGTTATGACTTTTTGAATAATGATTAATGTGTCCTTATTAGCCATTTTTAGGGTATTTATAAATCTCAAACTACCAATTAAGGACTCAAACTAAATATGGAAAATAAACTTCTCAGAGTACTAATTACAAATTAATTTTCTAAAACATAAAGAAAATCATCTCCTAAAACTAGTCCAAGTATCTTCGCTTCCATCAATACTTCTCATAAATGAGATTTTGTGTCTCCCATCCGTTGGGGGAGATTTTTTTTTTTTTTTTTTAAATGCTACTGACTCTATTACAGTAATAATACAAGATTACATGTACAATCGTGCGTACTTAAGTAATTTCACTTTTGAGTGAAATGTTTAAGCCAAGGCATCAGTTTACATCTTCAACAAGTCACTAAATAGGTCATTCTTGTACCTTATGTAAGTGGCATACTAAGTAAAATTGGACACACAAACTCAATCGTTATGTCATGGAACTGTGTTTATCATCCATGGTGAATACGGTCCCAAACGATAACAGTGCCTACGGGCACCGTTATCTTCCACCAATCTTTCTTTCTTTTTTTCCTCTTTTTTTTTTCTTTTTTTTTTTTTTTAACAGCGCGACTTTTCTTCTTCATATTCACATTTACGGTTTCACTTCCTCTTCGCGCAAGTTTCTTCAACACTCATAAATTATGAATGTGCAGGCATGAATTTATGAATGTACAGTTATGAAATTATGAATTTTCTGTTATGAGATTATGAATTTTCTATTATGAGATTATGAATGTACAAAAAATTCATAATTACATAACTGTAAATTCATAATCTCATAACAGAAAATTCATAATTTAATAAATGTTTTTCTATTATGAGATTATGAATTTTCTGTTATGAGATTATGAATGTACAGAAAAGTCATAATTACATACCTGTAAATTCATAATCTCATAACAGAAAATTCATAATTTAATAAATGTAAATTCATAATCTGCACATAGAATGCAAAACGCCGTTAACAGCACATTAACTAAATTTATTTATTTTTTCGGTAAAAACGATGTCGTTTGGGACCATGTTCACCAAGTATGGTGAACACGTTTCCACAGCATAATTTGCGACACAAACTTTAGCCAAGAATTGATAGACTGACCTGATAAGTCTACAACTTATAAGTCTGATGACCCAAACGGATAGCCCAAAATTTAGTGGGCTAGCTCGATAGCGCAAACCACTTAATGCTATTCTTTGATGTACAAGGGGTGCGAAACAAAATATATATGTAGATAATTTATATGTAAACTCATGTTTAAGTAATTTTTATTAAATTTGTAAATAAAATTTTAATATTACAAAATAAAATATTTTGTATGAAAATAAATAATAAAGAAAAAAAAACTTACTTTAATTATTACATTATAGTATAAATATATTAATTATTTTTAGTTACAATTTAAAAATGAGAGTTTATATTGATTGAATGATGTATAAATTTATATTTATTAGTGTAAATGTGCTAGCTTATCGAAATTTAAAGTTTATATTGTTAATTTAAAAATGTCAAAAGTTTTAGTTGAGCCTATCTAAT